CACTGCACTCCAGCCTGGGTGACAAAGTAAGACTCTGTCTCAAAAAAAAAAAAAAAAAAAAAAAATCCAGTGTTTGCTAGAACGTGCAAGAACTGTGCCATAAAATCATATGAGCACAGATGAGGATACTAGAAGGACTCAAATGGTAATGCTTTGCCCAGGAATGCAGTTAACAGGCAATAACTGTAGGTGTTGTTAGAGTGCCACAGAATGGTCTTCTTTTTATTGAGAAAGACACATCTGAGATCACGTCCTTGTTTACAGGAGACCCATGAAATGTTAGAATTAGGACACCTTTTGCCAGTCAAGGTGATGAGTGTTAGGACAGTCCTGCAGGAAGGCAACAAACTTGCTTTGGCTCCAGGATTTCATGATTCCATTCATAATTTCACACGGGCGAGCAAGCAGTCTTTCTGTCCCGGTCAACAAGGATAGAGGAGTTGCTTTCACACCAGTCATGGCCTAACACAGAAGCTTAATCCTGGCTGGAAGGCAAAGTGTGTTTGTGGCAAAGCCAGGCAGACGTGTAATGAAAGCAGAATGAGTAATGTTTAGTTAAGCTTCTGGATGGCAGGGGTGGTTGGGTGTATGTTTGGGGATTTTTAATGACTCCAAAAGGCGTCTTAAAAAGTCACACTATTTTGGCACTTCTGAGATGCAACTTTTGCTACAAGTACTAACACCAGCAAGTGACTGCTACAAGTATTAATACTAGCACTTACCAGCAACATTTCTCATAAGCACCCCTTCCTTTCTGGAGCTCCAGGGATCAAACCAAGCTTTCTGCATATTTGTGGGGGGGGGGGGGGGGGGGTGGCATACACACCCTTTCCCACCTGCAGAGGCATACCATACAACTGAAAGCCAGATCAAATTGAAGACATTTATCAATTTTAGGGTTAAATAGTGGAAAAGGAAAAACTGTTGACACACTTTCTAATTTGAACTACTTAGGTATTGCAAGATTTTCTTCCTGCTGGTGGAAAATTAAACTAACGATTCTAAGTTAATGACTGGAGGGTAAACGGTTCCTTCTTTATAAAATAAATTGGATTTACCAAAACTTGTATTAAAATGGATTTTCTCCCAACTTTAACTTATAAATCCAATCAAGATATGACTCTAGAGAACTCTTAGGCTCCAAGTGAGGCTTCAAAAAGTAGGGTGTATTTCCCTACAGTTGCGCATTCAGGAGCTAACTCCACATCTCACCGGGTGAGCGCCCAACAGCTGGAGGGCAAATGCAGGGCAGTGCCCACCCTCCCTTGGTGTACTTTTCACAGGTGATGTCAGAAAAATAAGAACAATGTAGTAAATTATTCCTAAAGCTGAGCGTTTTCAATTTAAAGATTTTTGTTTTGTTCTTATATTATCTTTTCCTACTACTTTGGCATTAAGATGGTTTTTTCATAAAAGCTTGGTGATGAGTGTTAAGAGTTTTTAAAATATCCTAACTTGGCAAAATAAAAAAGACTTGGAGTCCTAGGCCAATGCCCTAAAGCTTTTTTTTTTTTTTTTCTCTCTCTCCTAGTGCTTTCTTGGTCCAGGCAATCTTCATTTGAGAACCACTAGTTTACAGCACTCTCTGAGCCAAGGAATTTGGAGTCAATCAGTGCTCATCTAGGTATCAAAATGGTGGCAAGCCCCAAGTGCAACTAACAACCTACAGAAAACAGAAGTCTAACTTTAGTCAACACTCAGGGGAGTGGGGATGAAGAATGTAGTCTTCAAAGCTCCTGGTCATTCTGGAACACTGTTCTCCTGCTGCACCCTACATGCTCAGCCCTCCATCGTCAAAGCCTCCTCCTCCTGGTTCTGAAACAGGTGGTAAAGCTTTTGGAGGCCCTGTGCCAACCTGTGCTCTCCCCACCATTAATCTGGGAAACCCAAATCAAGATGCTTGACCCTCCTGGGATTCTGAGAGGTCAGCCCTGTGGCACCAGAGGCTTTCGGGAATGATTCACCATATCATCAGTTGAAATTCTACTAAACTGTATGCCCGAGACTAGCTTCTCAGTACTGCAGCATCTCACTCAATCCCAGTGATCCGAAAATCCATCCATCCTCCCAGGACAGCTGGTTCAGGAAACCAAAGGCAAGGGGGGTCACTCATCCCTCCAGAGCCTCCAAACTGAGAATAAGGAAAAAAATCGCCAGACTCAGTGGCTCACACCTGTAATGCCAGCACTTTGGGACACCAAGGTGAGTGAATTATGAGGTCAGGAGATTGAGACTATCCTGGCCAACATGGTGAAACTCCGTCTCTACTAAAAATACAAAAATTAGCCGGGCGAGGTGGCGCGTGCCTGTAGTCCCAGCTACTCGGGAGGCTGAGGCAGGAGAATCGCTTGAACCTGGGAGGCGGAGATTGCAGTGAGCCAAGATGGTGCCTCAGCACTTCAGTCTGGCGATACAGCAAGACTCCGTCTCAAAAAACAAAAAAACAAACAAACAAACAAAAAATCAGCTGGCATAGGTCATGACAGGCCATCAACTATTTAAGAGATTTTTCAACTAAGAATATAAGAACATATTGCCATAAAATTTTAAAATCTCTATATTCTAGAGGTTATATCTATTTTTAATTGTATGCTCCTTAAACTTCTCTCTATTTAGGCTTCCCCCAAAATGAATTCTAACAGAAAACAAACAAACAAACAAACAAAACACTTCAGTAAAAAAAAGAATCCACAAACACTAAATATTTTAATACCTTTATTTACCTTCTCTCTAACAGAACTAATCAGCAGCAGATAATATATTTGTTGTGAAGAGAGTTAATTTTCTAGATTAAACATGTACATAAAAACATAAAGGTGACAATATTTGGCAATATATGACACTAATAAAGGTAACATTTATTGGGCTAGCCACTGGGCTAAGCGCTTGACTCGGATCACCTCAGTTAATCCTTACAGCAAACCTACAAAGTAGGTGCTATTCTTATTTCCATTTTATAGATGAGGTTATAAATGAGGAACCTCATTACTGTAATTTAATCTTCACCAACCCAGAATTTGAGTTCAGTGTTTACTCTGGCTATTAAAAGGTTGAATAAGCAAATGAGAAATTAAACGGGATTTCAGAAGGTATATTTAGCCTGCTAGACGGTCCTATGTTTTAAGACACACTGAAGAACAGATGCTACCTGCTTCTAACAGGATGTGTTTGGGAAGGTTCTGCTTGACACTATACCACATTAAAACACTGGAAGATTCAAACTTTTACTAGTTAAGGTTGAGTGTCCTCTCACTATTATCCCCAATGACTGGTCCAAGTTAGTAAGGTTATTATTCTACTTCTACCGGTGGTACAGTATGATGGATGTCAGCTGTGGCTCCCAAGATCTACTTTCCTCCTCCCCTGACAGTGTCCAGAACTCTACACACCCCCAGTCTCCCCACAGCCTGGCGCAGAAGCCAGTTTGGTGCAGAAGCCAGCCTGAGGATGAACTGACCCAGGGAGGAAGGAGCAGCGAGATTTAAAAAAAAAAAAAAAAAAAAACTTGGATGGTTTAGGATACTGCTGAGCTGCTGGTTCACACCCACCCTGCAGTCCACCCTATCCCTGCACATGGCAGGTACATGAGCTGATTAATCAGTTCATTGTGCTGACCTCACAATGCAAAGTTTCACTCAAACATACACAAAAGCTTCTTTTGGTCTAAAGTAGAAACATCCTTGTAATCCAAGTGACCTTCAACTCTTGACTCTGTGAGACTGTTCCCATTTGCTCCGCAGATCCACCCTCCATCCCCCTCCACACAGCTCTGCCCCACAGAGGCTCTGCCCTCCGTAGACAGCACCCACCCAGTTCCCTTGCCTTCTGGCTCTGACTGAGGCTACCTAATGGGAGGCACCGGCATCAGGAGACGGGAGATCTTAGGGGTTCAATGGGGATATTTATTCTCTTGGCTCTTTCCTGGCCATGCTGCTGTAGGTTGATTACATTCCTCTGCCAGGGACACCTCTCTAGCTCCTGCTTCCCATCCTGACAGCCAATCCCTCCCTCTTCCTTCCAGGCCTAGGCACAGTAAAAGCTCCCTGACACTGCTGACCCTGGGTGCTTCAGCATCTCTTGTTGGCTTCTCTTAACTCTGCCTGCATCCTTATAAATAGTCCCTTCAGTAGAGGCTCTTCAATTACCCCATTTGCGCGAGCCACATGTTTCCGACTGGAACCCTGAGACACAATGGCTTTAAAATTAAATCAGAATTAGGCACAATAAAAAAGAAACCGAAGCAATCAACTCTGAGCCTCACATAGGAGGAATGGAAAGTTTGGCACATGCCAAGAAAACAAAACCACGCACACTGAAATAATCAAATCAGATACCACCACCCCCTTCCCCACTGTCACCAAGAATGTGTGGAGGACGGAGCCATCTCCTGCTGGATCAGGGTTTATACCTGAAATAAAAGCTTAACATTCTATTTATGCACAAACTACTGACCCTTGAAACAGCTTGTGGGAGGCCTGGCAGAGGAATCATAGCTGTATGCCCATTTTATGGAGGGACAAACTGAGAATGGAAGGGATCTTAAGGCCAGAGCTGATAAAAACACGAGGAATGCCCCAGGGCCAGCTAAGGCTCCTGAGTCCAGGAATCCGCCTCTGGCATACTCTGTGGAGCTTCCCACAGCAGCCTTCTACACCACCACTCTCCAGAGATGCATCCCAGACATTTTTAAGTCCTTCTAAACACTTCTAGAACTACCATCCGTGGACGTCCATTGGATCCTCAACTATTTACAACTCTGCGAAATCAAGAGAGACAAGACGCCTTCCACCCCATTCCAGAAGCTGCCAAAAACCATTATGTGAATCCACAATCCCTGACCATTTCCCAAAGAAAATTTTCTAGAAATCAATGGATGTCCAGGCCCAGAGCAGCCCTCCTCCGCTTCCTGGGGCGTTCTCCACAATATGTGGGTCCAAGAAATGGTCTTACGACTGCTTTGCTGTAAAATGTTCCAACACCAACAATACCCAAGAAGCTACCTGTTTGAGGATGAAGAGGCTGAATCTTTCAGGGTTGTCCTGTTTCTGCGTCTTCTTCCTTCAGCATCCTCCACAGCCAGGGCCTGCAGGAGTGACCCAAAGAGCACAGTCAGGACATCTGGCTTCAGCATGGGAACAGTAAGTATTGATCAGGAAGAGACTGGAGGACTGACCCGGGATAAAACCCTGAAGAACCTAGCAGCTGATGGGCCCACCCAGGAGGAGGACCCAGCAAAGGCTGCTGAGGAAGGTCCCCAGGGGAGAAGAGGACTTAGGAGACCAAGACGTCCAACTTCACTCTGGTTATTCAGGCTCTAAACCCAAGTCATCATGGCTTTCCTCTTTCCCTCACACCCCACGTCTAATCCATCAGCAAAGGACGCCAGCTTTAACGTAAAGTAATATCCAGATCCTCACCATTTCTCAACACCTCCACTGGTACCACTTTGGTCCAAGTGAGCAGCACCTCTCATTAGGTTACTGTGATAACCCCCTAATTAGTTGTCCCACTCCTCCCCCTTACCTTTCTATAACCATGTCGTGGAGGTTGAACAGTGTCTCTCCAAGATTCCTATGTTGAAATTCTGATCCCTCGGATCTCAGAATGTGGCATATTAGGAAACAGGGTCATTGAAGATGTCATATTAGGAAACAGGGTCATTGATGATATAAAAGTTAAGATGAGGGCCTACTGAAGCAGAATGGGGGTTCCTAATCCAAAATGACTCTGGTATCCTTATAAAAAGGGGACATTTGGAAGATTGGAGGTTTTCTGCCACAAGCCAAGAAGCTACCCAGAGTTGGAGAAGGGCCCAAAACAGACCCTTCCCTGGAGTCTCCAGCCAACACCTTGATCTTGGACTCATAGCCTCTAGAGCTGTGAGACAATAAATTCGTGGTTTAAGCCACCCAGTGTGTGGTACTTGGTTATGGCAGCTCAAGCTAACAAATACAGCATGCTCCCCAGAGCAGCCTAAGTGATCATTTAAAAATCACTCTTCTGCTCAGAACACTCCTATAGTATTTCATCTGTATCAAAGTAAAAGCCAAAGTCCTTGAAATGGCCACAGTCCAAATGACTTGGCTGGGCGTCTTCCCTGATGGACTGAGACACCTGACCCCTTCTCCTCCTACTCTGCCCTTCCTCCATTTCCTCCAGCCACAATGGCTTCCTCAAACATTCAGGAAGGCTCCTGCCTCAACCCTCTGCACTTGCTCTTCCCCATCCTTGCAGCACTCATCCCCCAGGCATTTGTCACTTCCTATAGGTTTCTGCTCTCATGTCCTTTGCAGTGAGGCCCACCTCCAACCCCATCCCCCTTCCTAGCCTCCTTCCCTGTTGTATTTCTCTTTACAACTCTTATCACCACCTGACATTTATTTATTTTTTTCGTCCCCCTTTCTCCACTTCCCTTAAATTGTAAACTCCCTGAGAGCAGGGACATCGTATTATGTCACATCGTATATGGGCACACCATATACCATACGTATTATGGTGTGCCCAGAGCCTGGCACATAGTAGGTGCTCAAGAAATAGCTGTTGAAAGACTTTGTATATGATGGAATCAAATAAGCCAAGAGAAAAGAAAGTTGCAAGAAGGAGGAAGCTGTCCACAGTGTCAAAAGCAGCAAAGAGCCCAGACAGATAAGGACTGAAGTGTCCGTTGTGTGTGGCAACATGGAGGCCGTGGGTGACCTTAGAGAGAGCAGCTCCTGCAGAAGGTGGGAGGCCTCTGCAGCAAACCCACCAGCTCCCTGCCCTGGACCAGGTACAAGCCCCCACCGGTGGAGGCCAGCCTGCGTGGGCTGTGTTAGCGAGGGCAGCTTATTTCCATACATCTATCTGTGAGGGGTAGAGAAAAGAGAAGGTGAGGCTGAGGGGTGTGAAGGTCTGAGGAAGTTGGGTTGCAAGACTGAGGCGTGAGGTCCCAGGGGCTGCAGGAAGCAGGGGGACCCCTGTACACGGAGAGGGTTCTCTCTGGCCAGGAGGAAGGATGTTTCTTTCTCTGAGTGCAAGGAAACCAGGTGGGAATGAGCCCAGATGCAGGTCAGCACACAGGAGGGCAGGCAGGAACCTGAGTGGGCTAGCCGTGGAGTAATATTTTCAGTGAACAGAGAAACCAGGTTGTCTCCTGAGTGGAGAAGGGCAGATAGGAGAGGAGGCTGGGATGCATGTCCCACTGTGGCTATCAAGTGCAGGTGTGGCCCTGAAACCCAGCACCTCCTGACGTTTGTGCCCTAGGTAGCTCACTCTCTCACCCTAGTCCACACCCTGACTGAGACAGCCAGCTGCTGGCCAGCATCCAGGAGGGCCCTGCTCTAACCAGAGGCCGTGGTTTCACAGAGGCACAATCTGCATGGATGTGGGGTTTTCTGTGACAGCCCTCAGTAGCCAGGGTTTAGGAGGAGAAGTTCCTAAAGCTGAATTCAAAGTCCCAAGCAGGTCCATCTCTTTCTATGAAGGGTTCATCATTCTCCCGGGCTCCCAGACCCAGAACCTCATACTCCACTCCCTTAAATCCTCCCAGTCACAAAAGGATGCCTCTTCCTGCATGAGAAGATTCATTATTCCTTGAGTACCTACTAAGTACTGGGTGTGTTACAAGTTAAAATCCTCAAACAAGAGTCCTGTGAAGTGTTTTTAGCCACTATTTATAGACGACAAAACAGGTTGAAAGAGATGAAGGAATTTGCTCAAGGTCACACAGGTAGCAAGTGGCAGAGCTGAGATTTGAAACTTTCCACTTCCCTCTCGTCTTTTCTACACATACTACCACCACCCTAGTCCAAGTCCTCAACACTTCATTCCTAACACTTGACATGACAAATGTCTCCTAAGTTACCTCCCAGGACTGCCCATTTATAGTTCACAAATTGAGACGGATCTTCTTACAGCACTGCATTTACCAATCCCGGCCCCATGCTGTGGCTTTGGAGGCTCCTCAATACAGGAACATTCCAAGCTCCACAGCCACCCCTTGGGATCCTTCATAAACGGTGCACATCTCTTTCTTCAATCTTGCTTCCCATGCGTACCTCTGCTCACCCCATCTGTAATCCCCTGCCCAGTCCATGCACCCCATCGAGGTCCCAACACCCAGCACATTCCTCCCCTGCAGCTCTGCCGTCTGGCCACCCAGCTCCAGCCCTCTCCTGCAGTCTGCTGGGCGGCACCAACCCAGCTTACCAAGCTCTCCCGGCTCTTCTGAGCTCACTGCATCTAGCTTCTCTGGGCAAGAGTTCCCTGTGCTCATGTGGACTGCAAGCCTCTTGAGGGCAATGAATCGTCTATTGAAAATGCTTGCAACTGCCCACTGCTCAATACAGTGTCTCAGTTATTTGATCTACAGAACAATCCTGATGCTCAGGCAATATGATTCCAGAAGTTTTTCAGAAAATACAGGGGAACCGGGATGGCCAAGTGAAGGGACACGGGGCTTCTTGAAGCTGGGAGGCATACCTATTCTTCCTGTGCAGGAGGCACCGGAGTCCAGCACCTCCTAACATCCACTCTAACGGGGAGGAGGACAGCTGGATTTGGCTCCTCCCTCCTCTTCCTGCACCTGCATATTCAAGGTCTTGGTGTCCTTCCTTTGCCACCCTTTCACATGCTTTTGTAGACATAGATAGATATACCCTCTTCTTCCTTCTTCAAGGGAGAGCTTGAAATGTGAGAAATCCAGCTGTATGGAGAAGCTCATGGTGACTGGCAGAACAGTCAGGGCTGGGCGCCCAGAAGCAGGAAAAAGAATATTCTATTTCTGGGAAATGAGAATTTGGACTGATCCACTTCAATCACTGGCTACGGACCACCATCTAACAATTCTGGGATTCCCAGAGCCACAAGAGGAAGATGCCCGGGAAAAGTGAAAATCAGCAAAGCACTCAAAGGCCATCCAATCACCCTAGGCAAACAGATGGGCAGATCTGGGTAACAAGGGGCTGAGAGAAAACCATAGGTTTCAAGGGGATACTGTCACCAAGATGCCCTATAAGAAATCACGATCTACCCAAGCCAGGGGCAACCAAAGGGGCAGTGTACTCCTCAGGACTTAGCTGAAGTCATAGGAGCACTTGAGTCAGGCCTGGGATCAAATCCTAACTTCATCAGCCAGGTCAGCCTTTACCTCTTGGAGTCTGGCTCTGCATAAGTGACTGTGATGCCTAAATAAAATAAGTGTAGGCTGGGCGTGGTGGCTCACGCCTGTAATCCCAGCACTTTGGGAGGCCGAGGTGGGCAGATCACGAGATGAGGAGATTGAGACTATCCTGTGAATGGTGAAACCCTGTCTCTACTAAAAATACAGAAAATTAGCCCGGCGTGGTGGCGGGCGCCTGTAGCCCCAGCTACTCGGGAGGCCGAGGCAGGAGAATGGTGTGAACCTGGGAGGTGGAGCTTGCAGTGAGCCGAGATCGCGCCACTGCACTGCAGCCTGGGTGACAGAGCAAGACTCCGTCTCAAACAAACAAACAAACTAACTAACTAAATAAATAAGTGTATGGAAGTATAATATCTAGCACAGTGCCTGGCCTTACATAAGGGGCTTCCTCAGTCGTGCTCTCCTCCCCGTTTCCAGCCTTCAGACCTCACAGCGCTCTCTACTCTTACTAACAGAAACAAGCACAGAGGCCACAGAGCATTTCCCAGCAAGAAGGTTTCCAAAGAAGGACGGCAGAAGTCCGCAAAGGAACAAACAGGCCACCCCACTGCTGGTAAGAGAGAAGCGCCGGACCTCGGTGAATGCCCGGGTTTCAAAACACAAAAAGCTCCGAGCCTCTTATCGTAGCTAAACAGGAAGTTTGTGACAAACTTAGAAAACACGCATGCACAGTGGCAAGAGGCTGCACGCCACTGAGAAAAGATGAAATCCGGCCCTGCTGGGGGCCCTGTGTGGAGGAGGAGCGTGCGGACCCGACACTCCCACCGCACCAAGATCTTCCTGGCTCTAGGAGACACCCTTACCCTGGGCTTCTCCTCACCCCAAGCATGGGAGGGATTTGGGCCAAAATGTGCGGAGCTGCTCCGGTTTCCAAAGCCAGGCTCTGCTCACCCCCTCCTGCTCTCTCTCCCACCCCTACCCAC